ACTTTCTAGTTTGGGTAAAGTAGGTATTGAGGAGAAAGCGCAATGATATTACGAGTATCCGGCACTTGGAAGAGATATGAGGATAAGGATTAAGGGTAGGACAGGGGAAAGGGATGGTGCCCGAGCATTTGGCCGGCAGTCGGGGGATTGAACGCCAACCTGCTTGCGTTTAATCCTTTAATGGGAGGACACCAGGTGTGTTACTGGATCATGTTAGGGTGGAGCATCTCTAAGTTCGAGCCCCCAATTAAGCATGTCTTATACAGCCAGGCACTGTCACTCTCACTCTCACTGTCACTGTCACTCTCACTGTCACTGTCACTCTCACTGTGATTGTCACTGTCACTGTCACTGTCACTCTCACTGTCACTCTCACTGTCACTGTCACTCTCACTGTGACTGTGACTGTGACTGTCACTGTCACTGTCACTGTCACTATCACTGTCACTGTCACTGTAAAGACAGTGGATTCTTCTTAACTTGTATGTGACTTATTTTGCTTTGTGGATAACACTTTGTGTGTTTCGTATACCTGTTACATTATACATTGAACACATTATACATTGAACACATTATACATTGAACACATTAAACATTGAAGACATTATACATAGGTTTCCATAGCCTTGACGGCTTTGTTTACACGAAACAGTTTCGAAGCTTTGACACTTGACAAGGCAGTGTTGTTGTGGTTATAAACAGCCTCGTGGTGCTTCAGGACTCATCAACTGTTGAATTGATGTAAGGAACGCCGCCATGATTGGGGAAAGATATAAAGGTTTCGTAAGTGGTTGTATAAAGGCTCGTTAAGCCTTGACCTGCGGTGTGGTTGGAGGTTCGAGGCTCGCCAGAGTCATCTAGTGAACTGAAGTCAGGTAAGATAAACGGTTCCAGCCACACTACCAGTCACACTACCAGCCACACTACCAGCCACACTACCAGCCACACTACCAGCCACACTACCAGCCACACTACCAGCCACACTACCTGCCACACTACCAGCCACACTACCAGCCACACTACCCAGCCACACTACCAGCCACACTACCAGCCACACTACCAGCCACACTACCAGTCACACTACCAGCCACAATACCAGCCACACTACCAGCCACACTACCAGCCACACTACCAGCCACACTACCAGCCACACTACCAGCCACACTACCAGCCACACTACCTGCCACACTACCAGCCACACTACCTGCCACACTACCAGCCACACTACCCAGCCACACTACCAGCCACACTACCAGCCACACTACCCAGCCACACTACCAGCCACACTACCAGCCACACTACCAGCCACACTACCAGCCACACTACCAGCCACACTACCAGCCACACTACCCAGCCACACTACCCAGCCACACTACCAGCCACGCTACCAGCCACGCTACCAGCCACACTACCAGCCACACTACCAGCCACACTACCAGCCACACTACCAGCCACACTACCAGCCACATTACCAGTCACACTACCAGCCACACTACCAGCCACACTATCAGCCACACTACCAGTCACACTACCAGCCACACAACCAGCTACACTACCAGCTACACTACCAGCCACACTACCAGCCACACTACCAGCCACATTACCAGCCACACAACCAGCCACACTACCAGCCACACTACCAGCCACACTACCAGCCACACTACCAGCCACATTACCAGCCACACTACCAGCCACACTACCAGCCACACTACCAGCCACACTACCAGCCACACTATCAGCTACACTACCAGTCACACTACCAGCCACACTACCCAGCCACACTATCAGCCACACTACCAGTCACACTACCAGCCACACTACCAGCCACACTACCCAGCCACACTACCAGCCACACTACCAGCCACACTACCAGTCACACTACCAGCCACACTACCAGCCACACTACCAGCCACACTACCAGCCACACTACCAGCCACACTACCAGCCACACTACCAGCCACACTACCAGCCACATTACCAGCCACACTACCAGCCACACTACCAGCCACACTATCAGCCACACTACCAGTCACACTACCAGCCACACTACCCAGCCACACTATCAGCCACACTACCAGTCACACTACCAGCCACACTACCAGCCACACTAACAGCCACACTACCCAGCCACACTACCAGCCACAACACCAGCCACACTACCAGCCACACTACCAGCCTCACTACCAGCCACACTACCAGCCACACTACCAGTCACACTACCAGTCACAATACCAGTCACACTACCAGTCACACTACCCAACCGCACTACCAGCCACACTACCCAGCCACACTACCAGCCACAACACCAGCCACGCTACCAGCCACACTACCAGCCACACTACCAGCCACCCTACCAGCCACACTACCAGCCACACTACCAACCACACTACCAACCACACTACCAGCCACCCTACCAGCCACACTACCAACCACACTACCAACCACACTACCAGCCACACTACCAGCCACACTACCAGCCACTCTACCAACCACACTACCAGCCACACTACCAGCCACACTACCAGCCACACTACCAGCCACACTACCCTACGCATACTACGGCACGCATAGACGCAATAAAGCACCTAAATTATTGGGATCGTCTCAAAGCCCTCCAAATGTACTCACTAGAAAGAAGACGAGAGAGATATCAAATAATATACACCTGGAAGGTACTGGAGGGCCAAGTACCAAATCTACACAGTAAAATAACAACGTACTGGAGTAAACGATATGGAAGAAAATGTAGAATAGAACCAGTGAAGAGCAGAGGTGCCATAGGCACAATCAGAGAACACTATAAACATCAGAGGTCCGCGGCTGTGTAACACCCTCCCAGCAAGCATAAGAAATATTGCTGGAACAACCGTGGACATTTTCAAGAGGAAACTAGATTTATTCCTCCAATGAGTGCCGGACCAACCGGGCTGTGGTGGGTATGTGGGCCTGCGGGCCGCTCCAAGCAACAGCCTGGTGGACCAAACTCTCACAAGTCAAGCCTGGCCTCGGGCCGGGCTTGGGGAGTAGAAGAACTCCCAGAACCCCATCAACCAGGTATCAACCAGGTACCCAGCCACACTACCCAGCCACACTACCAGCCACACTACCAGTCACACTACCAGCTACACTACCAGCCACACTACCAGCCACACTACCAGCCACACTAACCCACCCTAACACAATACTATCTTAGCTTCCACGCCTCCGCCCCGCCATTTATCTCCAGGTGGCCGCCTTAGTCTGCACGAATTTGGGAACACGATCCCGAACAATGGGGCTCGTTGATGGACCAATAAGAACTAATGGCCTAACATTCTTAACTGCGATTTGCAGGCTGACGCAGGATCATCTCGTGTCGTAGATGTCCCAGCTGACTTGTGCGGCGCCTGACGCGGCCCTCAACACCACACCGGGTCCTCGTCCACACCGGAAATGCAGCGTCGCAACAGAACGGACAACGACTGTGCAACGAAGGGCACTGCGGCCGGACTGTGAAGGGCACTGTGGCCGGACAGTGAAGGGCACTGTGGCCGGACAGTGAAGGGCACTGTCATCCTGCTTGATGGGGTTCTGGGAGTTCTACTCCCCAAGCCCGGCCCGAGGCCAGGCTTGATTTGTGAGAGTTTGGTCCACCAGGCTATTGTTTGGAGCGGCCCGCAGGCCCACATAACCACCACAGCCCGGTTGGTCCGGCACTCCTTGAAGAAAACAGTCCAGTTTTTTCTTGAAGATGTCTACGGTTATTCCGGCAATATTTATTATGCTTGCTGGGAGGGTGTTACACAACCGTGGACCTCTGATGTTTATACAGTGTTCTCTGATTGTGCCTATGGCACCTCTGCTCCTCACTGGTTCTATTCTGCATTTTCTTCCATATCGTTCACTCCAGTACGTTGATATTTTACTGTGTAGATTTGGTACTTGACCCTCCAGTATTTTCCATGTGTATATTATTTGGTATCTCTCTCGTCTCCTTTCTAGTGAATACATTTGGAGAGTTTTGAGACGATCCCAATAATTCAGGTGCTTTATCTCGTCTATGCGCGCCGTATATGTTCTCTGTATTCCCTCTATTTCAGCAATCTCTCCTGCTCTGAAGGGGGAAGTGAGTACTGGAGTACTGAGCAGGACTCAAGACGGGACAGCACAAGTGACTTGAAGAGTACAACCATTGTGATGGGATCCCTGCATTTGAAAGTTCTCGTAATCCATCCTATCATTTTTCTGGCTGACGCGATATTTGCTTGGTTATGCTCCCTAAACGTTAGGTCGTGGGACATCATTAGACAAATCTATTGGCAGATTTGATTGTGTTTTGTACCCTGTTATTATATTTAACGTCTTCATTTTATCTGAGTATCTGAAATTTCGTACCGTCTCGTACCCGAGTACCTGAAATTTGCAAGTACCATGGAATTTCACTTTCGACAAGGAAGCGGATATACATTAGAGGTTATCTTGAGGTTATCTGGAAATGATTTCAGGACTTAGCGTCCCCGCGGCCCGGTCCTCGACCAGGCCTCCTTTTTGTTACACATCCCAGGAAGCAGCCCGTAGCAGCTGTCAACTCCCAGGTACCTATTTACTGCTAGGTGAACAGGTGAATCAGGGTAACAAGCTCTGCCCATTTGTTTCCGCCTCTGCCGGGGAACCTTTGGACTACGAATCCCGAGCGTTGTCCACTCAGCCGCCATGTCCAGCCACCAGGAGCGGACAAGGGATGTGTAATGTACACTCCGCTGTTCTGGAATGACAACGTCTTTGCGACGTACGAAACGTTGCCTCTACTCACCTATCTGTGATGCGGGGGTTGAGCTTCAGCTCTTTGGTTCCTCCTCTCAACTGTCAATCACTTGGTGCACAGGTTCCTGCCTCTGTCACTGCCGCCGTCGTTGTCACTGCCGCGTCTGCCACTGCCGCCACCGTTGTCACTGCCGCCACCGTTGTCACTGCCGCCACCGTTGTCACTGCCGCCGTCGTTGTCACTGCCGCCACCGTTGTCACTGCCCCCGTCGTTGCCACTGCCGGCACCCTTTGTCACTGCCGCCGTCGTTGCCACTGCCACCGCCGTTGTCACTGCCGCCTCTGCCACTGCCGCCGCCGTTGTCACTGCCGCCTCTGCCACTGCCGCCGCCGTTGTCACTGCCGCCTCTGCCACTGCCGCCGCCTCTGCCACTGCCGCCTCTGTCACTGCCGCCGCCGTTGTCACTGTCGCCTCTGTCACTGCCGCCGCCGTTGTCACTGCCGCCGCCGTTGTCACTGCCGCCGTCGTTGTCACTGCCGCGTCTGTCACTGCCGCCACCGTTGTCACTGCCGCCACCGTTGTCACTGCCGCTGTCGTTGCCACTGCCGCCACCGTTGTCACTGCCGCGTCTGTCACTGCCGCCACCGTTGTCACTGCCGCCGTCGTTGTCACTACCGCCACCGTTGTCACTGCCGCCGTCGTTGCCACTGCCGCCGCCGTTGTCACTGCCGCCTCTGCCACTGCCGCCGCCGTTGTCACTGCCGCCTCTGCCACTGCCGCCGCCTCTGCCACTGCCGCCTCTGTCACTGCTGCCGCCGTTGTCACTGCCGCCTCTGTCACTGCCGCCGCCGTTGTCACTGCCGCCGCCGTTGTCACTGCCGTCTGTCACATGTTGCTCAGATAACCTGTATCTGTCATAGGAATAACTGCTTATAAGCCTTTCTTTCTCAGAACTTTCAGGCGGGACAGCAAAAGCTATTAGAGAAGCGGGACCCGATGGCTGGGGGCGGCGCCCCCCTGTTTTGGTGGGCCTTGAAACCCACCTTTGGAAACCGACGATGTTGTGCCCCCCTCCCAGGGTGATCTTCCTCACCCCCCTCCCAGGGTGATCTTCCTCACCCCCTCCCAGGGTGATCTCCCTCACCCCCCCCTCCCAGGGTGATCTTCCTCACCCCCTCCCAGGGTGATCTTCCTCCCTCCCCTTCCCAGGGTGATCTTCCTCACCCCCTCCCAGGGTGATCTTCCTCACCCCCCCCTCCCAGGGTGATCTTCCTCCCCCCCTCCCAGGGTGATCTTCCTCACCCCCCTCCCAGGGTGATCTTCCTCACGCCCCCCTCCCAGGGTGATCTTCCTCCCCCCCTCCCAGGGTGATCTTCCTCCCCCCTCCCAGGGTGATCTTCCTCACCCCCCTCCCAGGGTGATCTTCCTCACCCGCCTCCCAGGGTGATCTTCCTCACCCCCCTCCCAGGATGATCTTCCTCACCCCCCTCCCAGGGTGATCTTCCTCACCCCCTCCCAGGGTGATCTTCTTCACCCCCCTCCCAGGGTGATCTTCTTCACCCCCCTCCCAGGGTGATCTTCCTCACCCCCTCCCAGGGTGATCTTTTTCACCCCCCTCCCAGGGTGATCTTCCTCACCCCCTCCCAGGGTGATCTTCCTCACTCCCTCCCAGGGTGATCTTCCTCCTCCCCTCCCAGAGTGATCTTCCTCCCCCCTCCCAGGGTGATCTTCCTCACCCCCTCCCAGGGTGATCTTCCTCACCCCCTCCCAGGGTGATCTTCCTCACCCCCCCTCCCAGGGTGATCTTCCTCCTCCCCTCCCAGGGTGATCTTCCTCCCCCCCTCCCAGGGTGATCTTCCTCACCCCCTCCCAGGGTGATCTTCCTCACCCCCTCCCAGGGTGATCTTCCTCACCCCCTCCCAGAGTGATCTTCCTCCCCCCTCCCAGGGTGATCTTCCTCACCCCCTCCCAGGGTGATCTTCCTCACCCCCTCCCAGGGTGATCTTCCTCACCCCCCTCCCAGGGTGATCTTCCTCCTCCCCTCCCAGAGTGATCTTCCTCACCCCCTCCCAGGGTGATCTTCCTCACCCCCTCCCAGGGTGATCTTCCTCACCCCCCTCCCAGGGTGATCTTCCTCACCCCCTCCCAGGGTGATCTTCCTCCTCCCCTCCCAGAGTGATCTTCCTCACCCCCTCCCAGGGTGATCTTCCTCACCCCCTCCCAGGGTGATCTTCCTCACCCCCTCCCAGGGTGATCTTCCTCACCCCCTCCCAGGGTGATCTTCCTCCCCCCCTCCCAGGGTGATCTTCCTCACCCCCTCCCAGGGTGAGGAAGATCAATAACTGGCGTGTTGTCACCCCACACTGGCAGAGTCCTGGCAGGCGGTGGGAGGGGAGGGGGAGGGAGATGAATGGGAGGGAAAATGGTGGAAGAGAGATGGGAGGGGAAGGGAGGAAGGGTGAAGGAGATTTAGGAAGAGTAGTGTGTGTGGGAAAGGTTGGGAGAGAGGGGTGGAAGAGGAGCGGGCGGTGACATCTCAGGCTAACATCAATAATGATTCTTGGATGTCCTGCAGTTAGTTCCCCGCTGCCACCACCACTGCCACCACCACCACTGCCACCACCACCACTGCCACCACCACCACTGCCACCACCACCACTGCCACCACCACCACTGCCACCACCACCGCTGCCACCACCACCACTGCCACCACCACCACTGCCACCACCACCACCACTGCCACCACCACCACTGCCACCACCACCACTGCCACCACCATCACTGCCACCACCATCACTGCCACCACCACCACTGCCACCACCACCACTGCCACCACCACCACTGCCACCACCACTACTGCCACCACCACCACTGCCACCACCACCACTGCCACCTCCACCACTGCCACCACCATCACTGCCACCACCATCTCTGCCACCACCACCACTGCCACCACCACCACTGCCACCACCACTACTGCCACCACCATCAGTGCCACCACCACCGCTGCCACCACCATCACTGCCACCACCATCTCTGCCACCACCACCACTGCCACCACCATCACTGCCACCACCATCTCTGCCACCACCACCACTGCCACCACCACCACTGCCACCACCACCACCACTGCCACCACCACCACTGCCAACACCGTAACCACTGCCACCAAACTTGGTTGAGTTCTGTGACCAGGTTCTGGAAATGGATGTAATTCCAACACTAACATTTAGAGATACACACAAACAGGATCATCGGCGGCATATGAGACTCTGGCAAACATGAGACCATCGTTTAGGAACCTAAATCATGACTATTTCAAGGCAGTCTACACAATATTTGTTAGACCTGTACTGGAATAAGCAGCACCGGCCTGGACTCCACACCTTGTGAAGCACACAGCCAAAACTCAACGTACAAAGGTGTGCCTGAAGCTTGGTGTTAGAGCTAAGAGGGCTGAGCTACAAGGATAGTCTAATGGAACCAAATCTCACAACCCTAGAGGATAGAACTCAGGAGATATGATCACAAAATACAAGATACTTAGAGGAATAAATTGGACAAGAATGGTCGCTTTAAATTGAGAGAAAGCAGGGCAAGAGGACACAGGTGAAAGCTGGAAGCACAAATGAGCCGAAGGAACATAAATAAGTACCCGCTCCCTGTACGGCTGGTCAACAAGTGGAAGGCTCTGAAAGAAGATGTTGTAGAAGCCACCTCCATCCACAACTTAAGGGCCAGATTCGACAATTAATTTAAACGTGAGAATTGGTCAATTTTAATGCAACAGGGTCAACAGGGCTACTGTAGGCTGGGCATGAAGAGCTAGAGCTCGCTCCCTCGCAGACACTGATAGATAAGCACTGATAGATAGGAACCACCACCACTCCCACAGCTCCCACGACAGGAACTATGTATGAGGAGTACACGCAGTCACCGGGGTGGAGCCACGGCGAGGCACCAGCCTCCACACACTACTCCACCTCCCGCAACATGCAAGCATTTGATCAGACCATGTCGTAGCTCAGTCGATTAAGGCAGCGTCAGGGATGCTCTCGGATGCAGGTTCGAATCCTCGGCACGGCCCTTGTGGATTTGTTTATTTGATCAGGTGATATTGATCCATTTCCATCGCAGGTGAAAAACAAATTACTCAGACTTTAGTGTCTTTAAGGTTCAAGGCAACACGGTGAGGAGCTGCACAGATATTGGACAGAAATTAGATAAAAGAAGAAGGTAAACCCGCAAGTTATCCTCACTATCAATAGATAGCGAGTAGGTCAAGATGAGCGGCACACCTGGATAACATGAGGCCGACATACCCGCCAGGCGTGAGCAAGATGAGGCCTCGATGAGTCCACTGGAGCCCCAGGACTAGAGCACGGTAATGAGGCCGGACAGGTACGGGTATATATGTGATTCTTGAACTTGTAATAATAAGCAACCACTTGGGCTGGACGGTAGAGCGACGGTCTCGCTTCGTGCAGGTCGGCGTTCAATCCCCGACCTTCTTAGTGGTTGGGCTCCATTCCTTTCCCCCGTCCCATCCTAAATCCTTATCCTGACCCCTTCCCAGTGCTATATAGTCGTGATGGCTTTGCGCTTTCTCCTGACAGTTCCCTTCCCCTTGCAATAACAAGAGAGACACAATACTGTTGACACAGTGTTGACACAGTGTTGACACAGTGTTGACACAGTGTTGACACAGTGTTGACACAGTGTTGACACGCGTCCTAGAAGTACGCGTGTGTGTATGTGTGTATTGTGTGTGTGTGTGTGTGTGTGTATGTGTGTGTATTGTGTGTGTATGTGTGTATTGTGTGTGTGTGTGTGTATTGTGTGTGTGTGTGTGTATTGTGTGTGTGTATGTGTGTATTTAACACTGTGTAACTTCACAAGACTGCCACTTGGTGACCTAATTGAACTATGGGGTTCAGTTCCTGAACCTAATATGTGCTTCTGTAACACTTTCCATCACCGCCCACAGGATGGGTATGGGGTCCATCACCGCCCACAGGATGGGTATGGGGTCCACCACCGCCCACAGGATGGGTATGGGGTCCACCACCGCCCACAGGATGGGTATGGGGTCCACCACCGCCCACAGGATGGGTATGGGGTCCCCCACCGCCCACAGGATAGGTATGGGGTCCACCACCGCCCACAGGATGGGTATGGGGTCCACCACCGCCCACAGGATGGGTATGGGGTCCACCACCACCCACAGGATGGGTATGGGGTCCACCACCGCCCACAGGATGGGTATGGGGTCCACCACCGCCCACAGGATAGGTATGGGGTCCACCACCGCCCACAGGATGGGTATGGGGTCCACCACCGCCCACAGGATGGGTATGGGGTCCACCACCGCCCACAGGATGGGTATGGGGTCCACCACCGCCCACAGGATGGGAATAGGGTCCACCACCGCCCACAGGATGGGTATGAGGTCCACCAACACCCCACAGCATGGGTATGAGGTCCATCACCACCCACAGCATGGGTATGAGGTCCATCACCACCCACAGCATGGGTATGAGGTCCATCACCACCCACAGCATGGGTATGAGGTCCATCACCATCCACAGCATGGGTATGAGGTCCATCACCACCCACAGCATGGGTATGAGGTCCATCACCACCCACAGCATGGGTATGAGGTCCATCACCACCCACAGCATGGGTATGAGGTCCACCAACACCCCACAGGACGGGAATGAGGTCTACCACCGCCCACAGGATGGGTATAGGGTCCATCACCACCCACAGGATGGGTATGGTGTCTACCACCACCCACAGGATGGGTATGGTGTCTACCACCACCCACAGGATGGGTATAGGGTCCATCACCACCCACAGGATGGGTATGGTGTCTACCACCACCCACAGGATGGGTATAGGGTCCATCACCACCCACAGGATGGGGATGGTGTCTACCACCACCCACAGGACGGGTATGGGGTCCACCACCACCCACGGGACGGGTATGAGGCCCACCACCACCCACGGGACGGGTATGGGGTCCACCACCACCCACGGGACGGGTATGAGGTCCACCACCACCCACAGGACGGGTATGGGGTCCACCACCACCCACAGCATGGGTATGGGGTCCACCACCACCCACAGGATGGGTGTAGGGTCCATCACCACCCACAGGATGGGTATGGTGTCTACCACCGCCCACGGGACGGGTATGAGGTCCACCACCACCCACGGGACGGGTATGGGGTGCATAATAAGTAACCAACATAAACTATCACATGGGAGTAACCAGGGCAGAGTAGCGGTGATCACTGTCAACGGACAGGTGACACAAACAGTGAGAGAAGATAATCTGAACTGCTCCAGATAGCCAGTTAGATACAGATACTTCAGATACTTCAGATACTTCAGATACTTCTCCGGGGGTCTCTCAGGAGATGTCTCTGATGACTAAAGTGGTAGTACGTCACACGCAGGCTTGGCGTGACGTCATCAAATGCGTCGCATTTTTTACGGTTTGTTAGTCGAGAGGTGGACGGGGCGGGGGGGGGGGGTGTCCTTCACACAGGCTGTGGTACAATTTATGGTGAGAGGGGTGAGGGGTGAGGGGTGAGGGTGAGGGTGAGGGGTGAGGGTGAGGGATAAGGGGTGAGGGTGAGGGTGAGGGGTGAGGGTGAGGGGTGAGGAGTGAGAGGTGAGGGGTGAGGGTGAGGGTGAGGAGTGAGGGGTGAGGGGTGAGGGTGAGGGTGAGGGGTGAGGGTGAGGGGTGAGGGTGAGGGGTGAGGGGTGAGGGGTGAGGGTGAGGGTGAGGGTGAGGGGTGAGGGAGAGTGGGTGGGGGAGAGGGGTGAGGGAGAGCGGGTGGGGGAGAAGGGTGAGGAGGGGGAGGGGTGATAACCGCGGACCACAACACAGGACTTGTGAGCCTTGAGGAGTGAGGCAGACCAAGAGAGGTAACTACAACAAGTCCAGGACTTACGAGATGGACTTGTCTGGCCAAGAGTGGCGACAGAAGACTTCGTCTGGAATGGGATTGGCAGTGGAAGAGAAGTGGATGGAGTGGGAGGCAAGTGGGAGGGGATGTAGTAGGAGAGGTGACGAGTGGTGTCCCTGGGAGGGAGAGTGAAGAGAGAGGTGCCACCTGGCACTGGCACTGAGAGGTTACTCGCATCCTTAACCGCCGACTCGAGTCCTGGAAGAGCCTGTTTGTCGCCTCCTAAACCAGGACGACTTACGGTACTCTGACGTCATCAGCAGAAAGGTTGGCTCAGCGTCTGGGTTGGCACCGGTTGGCACTGAGGAGGAAGGGTGCCACGGTCAGTCCCAGCTGCCTCCCGCTCCACCCATCCCTTCTGTCCTCTCTTCCTTCCACTGTCCCAGTTGACGGAAGCAGCAAACCTGTCCTGCTCACTGAGTCCCCTCGCACCAGGCCATCAACACAACACTGAAATGCAACGCCACAGCAGTCGTCTATAACTCCCAAGTAACTGTTTATACTGCTAGGTGAACAGAGGCATCAGGTGTGCCTAATAAGCCACTTCCTACCCAGGCATCCAACCCTAGACCAGCCGGTCGCCGCTCCGAGTAATTCAGTATAACGATCTTCTCTATTGCCACAATTATCGTTAACTCTCTACGCCCGAGCGCTTAAAGCTCGGCTCAGCGAAATTTAAATCGAACCTGAAATAAAATCTCTGGGGAAAAAAGATTTTCAAAACCAGTTTGGGCCTATTAAAACACGTCGGGTTAACCATAACAAAACAAACATGGAAATAAAATCATCACCAAAACGTGACGTCATTCCGTCACCACGGACGCGCGTTCGAGCCCCCAACGCACAATGATGTCATCACACGTTTAGGTAATTTAATTTTACAAACATGCAAATAAAGGCTCCGTTAAATTGGGGCGCTTGGCACGCCGCTGGCGCCGCCATGACACAAAGCCGGGGATTAATTATTGGAAATGATTTAATCAAACATGGATATGATTGGCTCCCGCGGGAAGCGTTACAACAACTCGTTAAAGACCGCGTCCATGATTCTTCTTCACTCGAATACAAATTTAGTGGAGTTTCGCCGCATGATTGACACTAATGTTTATCATCCCACAGCTGGGATATTGGACCCCGTGACGGCTGCCACCGCCCCGTGACGGCTGCCACCGCCCCGTGACGGCTGCCACCGACCCGTGACGGCTGCCACTGACCCGTGACGGCTGCCACCGACCCGTGACGGCTGCCACTGACCCGTGACGGCTGCCACTGACCCGTGACGGCTGCCACCGACCCGTGACGGCTGCCACTGAC